GAAACCTGCACAGAAAATGTGGGTCACACTTTCAGAAACGCACAGATGCAAATGCAACCTGAATGGCAACCTGCATTTTCTGTGGGGTGCCGTGCATTTGGAAGCAGACATATACAAACACAACTTAAATGGCAATGTAAGCACTACATGCTTTGCCATGTATTCTCGAAATGCACCTCAAAATCACTTAGTTTCTGCGCAGGTTGCCACAAAGTAAGTGCAATGCGCGTTTGTCGTGTGTTTCTGAAATGTGCGACAAAGTGTACATTTTCTGTGCGGGTTGCCATACGTTCGGGAATAAACACATGCCTAACTGGCAATGCAAGCATGAAGCACATTTGCTTCATGTTCGGAAACGCGCAGATTAAAATGCAGCCTAAATAGCAACACATGCAACATGTTTGTGGGGCATTTCCAAAAGTGCAGTAACATGCACAGAAACTGCAAGCTCTGTCATGCATTTCAAAAATGCACAGAATGCACGCTCTTTGCTGTGCGTTTCAGAAATGCACGTTGCATCCTATGTGATGAAAATGTGTCCCAGCGTGTTCTATGTGACAAAACATGTAGGGAGGAGCCAGGATACATGCTACCATGCATGAGTACCAAGCCATGACCATCATTGTTATTGGAATAAGGAGTTTTGAAAACATGCTACATGCTGTATGCTTTGCAAGTCTTTGTAAGTGCATTGGCTTAATAAAACCTTGGATTTTAAGTGGGTTTACGCTTTGGAAGTTGTGTTTTTCTTTTTAATGTGACATGTGCTGCTGGCTTTCTTGAGCTTGAGACAGAGATGTTGAAGTGGCTTTGGAGATCCATTGTGGCTGACCTTATGTTTAAGAGATCCCTGTGTGAAGCGGTTGAGGAGGTCCTTCTTTGTTGATGTTGCTCAAAGCCATGTGTGCGAACTCAACATTGGGTGTCATATAGCTTTGGTAAGCCTTGACTGTGCACACGAGTGGTCGGTTTTCACGCTGGATTCTTGGGTTGGATTACTTCAGAAATTCATCTGTAAGAGGGGGCTATCTAAATCCTCTCTTACTACTGTGTTTGCATATAAAGTTAAGACTAATTTTGGGAGGACTACTAAAGCTTGAACCCCTAACATGGATTCTGTCATGTTCTAATGTTGTATTTGCCTTTTTTGCACATTATTATTCAGCACTTTAATGAATGATTTGCACATGATTATTATTTTCTTCTGTAAAGTGGATTTTGTTTGCAGACCGTTTACACGTTGATACTCTTAACACTATTGCTGATTTCTTACAGAAATTCTTTGCATAATTTTATCATTTGTTCATTTGTTATATTGATTCCAGTCTGCACAATATATATATATATATATATATATATATATATATATATATATACACACAGTATATATATATATATATATATATATATATATATATATATATATATAGTATATCTAATTGTAATTTTATTTTAGCGCTGCAGTTTAATATTTTGTATAAGAGTTGTACTTTGTATCAGAGCATAGTGCTAGCTACTTTGTTAGAATACTTTATGCTTTCACTTTAGCCCTAATGTGAATTTCACTTTTTTATTCTAAATTTAACCCAAGATCTGACCTTTGATGCTAAAAGTAGTGTCCAAGAGCCCCCAAATTTAATTGTGGAGCGTTCCGGTAAATCTTGCAAACAGTTGGGGTCAAAGTGAAAGCATCCACCACCAAAAAGAGATTGCACCAATTCATCCTGCACGTGAGGGTTCTTTTTTTAAGGAGAAAGCTCTTGCTGTTGAACATTAGAATAAGATTACAGTTTGTAGTAACAATAGACATTTTGCCATAAGTAAAATACAGTATTTTAGGAGAAAATTTCGGCCATGACTGTATATATATAATAGTATATCTAAGTTGTATTTTATGTTAGCGCTGCAGTTTAATATGTTGGGATAAGATGTGGTAACTTTGTTTCAGAACTTCACATTAACTGTGAAGCATGGAAGTGGAAATGTTATGGTTTGTCATTGCTTTGCTGCTTCAGGGCCTGGGCAGCTCACAGTCACTGGGTCAGCTTTACTTTCTGCAGAATATCAACGTGTGTTGATGAAAATGTGAGGCCAGCTATCTAAAAGTGAAAGCTAAACTGGAAATGAATCTTTGACGATGATGATGATCCAAGCACACTAGCAAAGCCTGTCCCTGGCTGCCCCTGATGACATCTTGAGAGACGAAATGCATAGGGAAGAGCAAGGCACTGTGATATCATCCCACACGCACACATGTCCAGAAGCAGAAAGAGATGGTGGTGTCCAGCTCCTGCAAAATCCAATTTGTAATTCTTAGTTCTGGACTAAGAAGTAGTTCTTGAAGTGTATTTGAGCTTTTAAACTTTGACTTTAAATAAATGGTTTTATACAATAAGAAATCCTCCTGCCTTTCTGCTTCTAATATAAATGAAGGAATTCTCTGGATGATCTTGGAGGAAGGTGTTGGTTTTGCTTATACAAAATTCAAGCTTATTTGACCTGCTTATTAAATGAAGTGGTCAAGGATAATTTGTTTGCTACACACAGGGAAAATCAGGTGAAAGATACTGGAGGAAGAAGCACACAGTTGTATTAGCATTTGCAATTTATGTCTTTGTCTGAAAAAAGAATGCACTGTCACTTTTAATACTAATGCACTTTAGAAATGTATTTAATAGCAGTTTGATGGAAGTCTTGAAGTACAAATAGCATATAGTCATGAAATTATGCATTAGCATTCATTTATGTGCACTTGCAGTTGCATATTGTTGAAATTTATTACACTAACAAATCCACCAAGAAATGACTCAAAAAGAAGAATTCTTTTTGAAAAGAAGACTCTCCTAGAAAATTGCTATTTTGATTCCCCTTGAAACTTTGTTTTATTAAAACAAAATTAATAAAATGAGAAGTCCAGTTGCAAACATCTTGCAACTGAAAGAGTGTATAGTACATGGAAAAGCAGTCAACATTTTCACTGATCGATGTCAGAGGCTGTTCAGCAGTTGTACAATTATACGAGAAAACAACAAATGATAATCTTTTAGGCATTTCTTGATTTTAGACACAAATGATTTCTAAAATCTGATCTTCTTCTAAGTCAATATAAAGCATTCTTAAAGAGGAGTTCCAGCTGAAAAAAAAGGTCAGCAGCTACAAAAGCTGTAGCTGCTGACTTTAAACCACTTCAATACAGGGTACTTTTACTCCCTTTCTGCCCAGGCTATATTTCAGGTTTCAGCGCTCTCACACTTTGAATGACTATTGCGCGGTCATACAACATTGTATCCAAACTAAAATTTTATCATTTTCTTCACACAACTAGAGCTTTCTTTTGGTGGTATTTAATCACCACTGGGGTTTTTATTTTTTGCTAAATTAACAAAAAAAGACTGATCATTTTGAGAAAAAAAACACGTTTTTCTTTGTTCCTGTTATAAAAGTTTGCAAATAAATAATTGTTCTTCATAAATTTAGGCTAAGATGTATTTTACTACATGTCTTTGGTGAAAATAACCAAAATTAGGATGGATTTTTTTTAGTTTTTAGGGTTCATAAACTATGGGATATATCTGAATATTGATCAATCCTGAAGTACTGACTACTGAATGTCAGAACAGTACAGATATCCTCCAAATGACCCCTTTTTGCAAAGTAGACAGTCCGACGTATTTTATAACAGGCATGGCGAGTTTTTTGAAGTTGTATTTTTTTTGTCATAATTTTTTGGAAAATGAAAATATTAAAAAAATGATTTTCACAATTTTTTTTTACATACTGTACAGTGCAGTACATTGTCATCATATAACTGGCATGGCGGTGATCAGGGACACTGACTTGTGATAGTATGAAAAAAATATATAATTTAAAAAATTTTTTTTTATTATTTTTAATTTTTGATTACATTTTGTTTCTTTTTTTTAAGATTTTTTTTATCATATTTCACTATGACCAAAGTAGTACAATGTTACCATAGTAACATTGTACTACTTTGGGGAAGTGATCAGTATTTTTTTTTTTTTTTTTTTTACACAATTTGCTTATAGCAAATTACTTTGCTATAAGCAAGTATTTACCTGAATGACATCGATTCATTCAGGGTTTTGTTTTGTTTTTTTGTGCTTAGCTGTGATTTGGCCACGGCTAATCACATGACACAGCTGGGCTGTGATTGGCCCAGCTTGTGCATGTGATCGCTGTCACCATTCACAGCTAGACACACTAGTATACAATGGATGGCATAAATGAAGTCATCCATTGTATACAACTGTCATGTGACCTGCTGTAATTGGTTACAGCAGTTCACATGGTACTGGCAACGGGGCTGGTACACAGATCTGTCATTGGCTGTGTCCGAAGTACACAGCCGGTGACAGATCGCGCCGTTGCGCGGCTCTGCGGGCGCGCAAACTGCGCATGCCCAAAAGGATGCCATATGGCGTCCACCCGGAAAGGTGAGGGTTTTTGCCGGCCGCCATTCGGCCATAGGCCAGACGGGAAGTGGTTAAAATACCTGTCCTCACCGCTGCTGATTTCACCGGCCGTCTTTTCTCCCTGGCGCTGGCATGTTTAGTGTGGGCACCCGGCTGTGACAGCTTGCAGCTTCCCAGCTGGGTGCCCACTGCATATGTGTGAGAAGCACTGCGCTTTGTGAATGGCCCCGTAGTCTTCTGGGACCTGTCACATGTCCCAGAAGACTACGGTAAGGAAGGGGGGAGGACAACTTCTGCTTCCGATCGCCTAGGCCAGGGGTCCTCAAACTTTTTAAACAGGGGGCCAGTTCACTGTCCCTCAGACCGTTGGAGGGCTGGACTATAGTTTAAAAAAAAAAAACTATGAACAAATGCGGACACAGTACAGGAGATGACCAGAGACTGCGGACATACAACGGCGGCGGGAATACTGGGCCGGCCGCTCCATAAGACGCACAGACATTTCCCCCCAAGTGTGTCTTATGGAGCGAAATAGTGCCCCATCTTTGGTGTCAGTGGGAGGAATAGTGCCCCATCATTGGTGTCAGTGGGAAGAATCGTGCCCCATCATTAGTGTCAGTTGGAGGAATAGTGCCCCATCGTTGGTGTCAGTGGGAAGAATCGTGCCCCATCATTGGTGTCAGTGGGAGGAATAGTGCCCCATCATTGGTGTCAGTGGGAGGAATAGTGCACCATCATTAGTGTCAGTGGGGGGAGGAATAGTGCCCCATTGTTGGTGTCGGGGGGGAGGAATAGTGCCCCATCGTTGGTGTCAGTGTGGGGGGGGATAGTGCCCCGTCATTGGTGTCAGTGGGGGAAGGGGATAGTGTTAGTGTCCCAACATTGGTGTCAGTGGGAAGAATAGTGTCCCATCATTGGTGTCAGTGGGAGGAATAGTGTCCCATCAGTGGTGTCAGTGGGAAGAATAGTGCCCCATCTTTGGTGTCAGTGGGAGGAATAGTACATCATTGGTGTCAGTGGGGGAATAGTGCCCCATCATTGGTGTCAGTGGGGGGGATAGTGTCCCAACATTGGTGTCAGTGGGAGGAATAGTACCCCATCATTAGTGTCAGTGGGGGAAGGAATAGTGTTCCATCGTTGGTGTCAGTGGGGGGTGGAATAGTGCCCCATCGTTGTTGTCAGTGGGGGGGGAGGAATAGTGCCCCATCGTTGTTGTCAGTGGGGGAGAGGAATAGTGCCCCATCGTTGGTGTCAGTTGGGGGAGGAATAGTGCCCCATCATTGGTGAGAGTGGGAGGAATAATGCCCCATCATTAGTATCAGTGACACCAATGATGGGGCACTATTCCTCCCACAGACACCTATGACACTTAACTTGCTGACCCCTGTTCCAGCATGGTGCTGCTGCAGTCAGCATACCTGGTTGCAGCAGCACCATCAGCATGGCACACTTACAGTTGCAAGAAAAAGTATGTGAACCCCTTGGGATTACGTGGAGTTTTGCATGAATTTGGCATAAAATGTGCTCTGAACGTCATCTAAGTCACAATAATAGAAGAACACAGTCTGCTGAACATAATACTACACAAACATTAGATGTTGCCATGGTTTAATTGCACATAACATGTAAACATTCACAGTGCAGGGAGGAAAAAGTATGTGAACCTGCTAATGTTTGTGTAGTATTATGTTCAGCAGACTGTGTTCTTCTATTGTTGTGACTTAGATGATGTTCAGAGCACATTTTATGCCCAATTCATGCAAAACTCCACGTAATCCCAAGGGGTTCACATACTTTTTCTTGCAACTGTACCTGTCAGCTGTCCTTCACTCCGGCCTCTCCCTCACTCGATGTTTGCGGGGGCCGCTTGGCTCCGCCTCCTCGCAGGTGATTGACCGCCTGTGTGCCTTTCCTGAGCTACAGTTCTGGCGCCCAATCACCGGTGAGGAGGCGGAGCCGAGTGGCAGGAGTGAGGGAGTGGCCAGAGAGAATGAAGGAGCAGCGTTCCTGGACTGGATCGTCGTGGGACTGGGACCGGAGCCAGGTAAGATATAGCAGCCCCCTACCCGCCTCTGTACTTAGTGTCCCTTCCTCGCGGAAAATACGCCCCTGCCGGCGGGCCGGATAAATGGTCTCGGCGGGCCGCATGTGGCCCGCAGGCCGTAGTTTCAGGACCCCTGGTCTAGGCGATCGCAGCGGAAGTGGGAGCAGGTACCTGTCAAATTTGGGTACCCACTCCCCAAAGGTGCCAATCCTTAATGGGGAGCGGGGGACAAAGCATTAAAGCGGAACTTCCCCTTTTGGGTGGAACTCTGCTTTAAGTAAAATAGTCACCACAGACAAAACTGAACATTAAAGGGCCTATTTATCAAGATGTAGCACTACTCTCTTGAGAGCCGCAGTGTTTTTTTGGGACCTACCCTAATCTCTGCACAGCCAGGCAACACGCATTTTCCACACTTGCATCCAAAGTCAGTAAACAGTCCATGAGCTTGGTTTTTGTTATTTTATTAGGAGGAAATAGCTTGGATGGGGTAATAGAGATTATGGGATGCCCAACTTGACTGAAACAATGCACAGGGACAACTTCCTTCCTATGTACAGAGAAAAAGACTGTTCTCTTCTCTGGATATGGTCAGTCTTTACCGATCAGTAGCAAAAGCCCTTTATGGACTAGGGACTCTCAGGCCTCTTTTGAAGGTTAGCACAGATTGTTGCAAACTAAATGCAGAAGTATCTCCTTTCTCCTATAGAACTGCTCCCAGCTCCACAGCCCCTCAAAAATTACCAACCATCCTGACTGCTCTGAAGATCTCCCAGGCCAAGGATAAAGGGTTATGTACAGGGCCATCCTTTGAAAGCTTGCTACATATGGCAGTCTCTCCCCTTGTGAATCCCTGGGTGTGCTGATGTACTTACTCCATCCTCTTTGCTCCCTGCTACTCTTTGGTGAGATTCCTCCTCAAACTGTGCCATTGGAGAGAGCTCCCCAAGCCTGCCGGAGCCCAGCTTGGAGGTAAAGACCCCTCCCCCCAGACCTAGGAGGTTCCTCCTAGGCTACTGACAGCCCCCTCAGCACTCCATCTCCCACCTGACTCTCCTGTTAGCATGGCCCTCTCATATTTAAGGGCTAGTCTTACCACACTACCAGGACCTCTTAGCCTGGGGTTGGTCTGACTAACATAAATATGCAGATTTAGGTTCTGCCCACTGACTTCTGGAAGCTTCCATGGGCCTCCAGAACCAGGTGGAGGCAATAAATTCCTGACCTGCAGTAACCCGACTTACTTACAGACACTGTTACCATGAGTCATACCACAATAAATGTACCTACACTAACACTTGTAGCACACTAAAGAGTGCTACAAAGATTTTGGAAATTTGACCAGTGGATACTTTAGGGCTATTCACCCAAGTGACATTCAACATTTTTGTCACAATTGCACCCCCTTGGGCACCAGCATCTGTTAGCAGCAGGCATTGGTGTTTTGGGAAAAGGACCCAAGTACCCCTCTCAAAGCATCTCCAATATTAAAGATCATGAAGGAGGGCAGTTTTTAATTAATTAATGTATTTATTTATTTTTAACTGACCGATATTTCTACTGATGCCCAAACTGTGTAAAAATGCAGTTTCAGCACAATGGAGAGATCCTGTCTGCACTTTCATACAGGTTTAAAGAGATTCTTTCATTATACAATTCATTTTAACAAAAATTTTACCATAAGATTGGTTTAGGAATCGGTATAAAATAGAGCAATGTCCGAGGAAAGCTTCAAATCAGATAGCTTTTTTTAACAGCTTCCGCCCTATAGCAGAAATACTGCCACAGGGCTGCACGGGTGAGCAAAATTACATATATATATATATATACACGTGATTTTGCATTTCCCGGTAGGGTACGTGCGCTCCGTGCGTTTGCCCTACCTGCGCCACCATTCGCGGCCGCAGCTGTCAATCACCGGGTATTGATTACCACCCCCCCCCCCTGGTGCCCGGTGATTACCAACGATCACCAACGGGAAGGAGGGCTGCTTTGTTTACTAACAGTCCTCCTCCCTGTCAGCTCGGGCACACTGTTCTGGATGGCTGTGCACAGCCAGTGCAATGTGCTTACAGTGAAGTACACACTCCCCGCCCCCTAGTAAAACACTCACAGTGCTCAGTTAACCCTTTGATTGCCCCTCATGTTAACCCCTTCCTTCCCAGTGCCATTAGTACAGTGCCAGTGCTTTTTATTAGCACTGATCACTGTATTGGTGTCACTGGGGATGTGAGTGACACCAAGTCAGTTCCCCCCAGTGTCAGAATGTCTGCCGCAGTCCTGCTATAAGTCGTTGATTGACGCCATTATTAGTAAAAAAAAACCCATAAAAACAGTATCTATACCACCATTTGTAAATGCTTTAACTTTCACATAAAATAAATTCATTCATTTATTGGGATTTTTTTTAGCAAAGACATGTCGCAGAATACATTGTGGCCTAAATTGATGACAAAATTTGATTTCTTTATTTTTTTTTTACTGGACAAGTTTAAAGCGGAGATCCACCCAATAGGGGAAGTTCAACTTTAATGCTTTGTCCCCCGCTCCCCATTAAGGATTGGCACCTTTGGGGAGCGGGTACCCAAATTTGACAAGTACCCCGCTCCCACTTCTGCTGCGATCGCCTAGGCGATCGGAAGCAGAAGTTGTCCCCTCCCCTCTCCCTCGTGACACGTGACAGGTCCCAGAAGACTACGAGGCCATTCACAAAGCTCAGCGCTTCTCGCGCATGCGCAGTGGGCACCCAGCTGTGAAGCCACAAGCTGTAACAGCTGGGTGCCCACACTAAAGATGCTGGTGCCAGGGAGAGAAGACAGCCGTGAAACCAGCAGTAGTGAGGGCACCGCTGGACCGAGGGACAGATAAGTGGCTGTATTTTAAAAGTCAGCAGCTACAGTTTTTGTAGCTACTGACTTTTTTTTTTCAGCTGGAACTCCGCTTTAACTGCTTTCACTCCACCCTATAGTAGAAAAATACAGGTGGAAAACAGCAAATTTACATACTGCTCTTGATTTTTTGGAGCTGTTTTCCTCCGAAGATCTGTATGCATGTATTGTGGATCAAAGCAATTTATATGCACAACAATTTATCGCCGCCAACCAAAATTCAAACCTTGCCAGATCATTCGCATGGAAACTCATTACGGTTTCTGAATTTACAGTTTTTTTGGGCCTAACCCTCAACATGGGCATTACTAAAAGAAATTAATTGCGGTCCACAGACCCGATTCATCCTATGCCCGTGTTCTCTGCTGCCATGGCCAGGCATAGATATGAGAGTATAATGTGTTTTATGCATTTCAATGACAAAACACTCTGTCGCCCTCGGGGTTACCCTGAATTTGACCAGCTCCACAAAATTTGGCCCCTCGTAAATCACCTTAACCAAAAATTTGCAGCTGTCTATACTCCCCAGCAAAACATATGCGTTGATGAGTCCCACATTAATTTTTCTGGCCGCCTTACATTCAAACATTTTCTCCCCAGCAAGCGTGCCAGATATGGGGTCAAGACGTATAAGATCTGTGAGAGGGCAAAAGGCTATTCATATAAGTTTCAGATTTATCAGGGAAAAGAGTCACATGGAGCCCCTCGGAAGCCCAGAATACATGGGGAGCAGTAGCAAGATAGCTTGGGACAAGGTGTCATCCTTTTTCCATATAGGGAACCATTTATATGTGGACAATTTTTATTCAAACGTTCCACTATTTAGACATTTGTACAATCTTAGAATTGCCGCATGTGGCACCATGTGACCTAATCGCTGGGGCTTCCCCCAACGACTTGTAAATCCCCATCTTAAAAAGGGGGAAAAAATCCTGCTTGAGACATGAGAATGTCATTCAGCTGCAGCACTGACTTGTTTATTCTGACAGCAACAGTGTCTTGCTCTCAGAATATACATACGTAGGTGTGTCAGTGCTGTGGATAAGATTTTTTATCCGCAGTTAAAAAAAGAGCATGGGGGCCTGGGGTGGCCAGTGGGTGGATGGCCCCTATGCTTCGGCATTTAAATTTTATAATATTTTTTGGCACATTTCATGTGTGCCCACCATTAGAAGTGGGTGGAAGCAGGGCGGTATATTCTATTGGTGGGCATACCACACACATTTTCTGGCAGAGATTTCTTCTATTTTTTTTTTATTCAGCCAACAGGCTGCATGAAAAAAAAAGTACATAGCATATACACCCAACAAGGACCAGGGATGTACTGGTACATCACTGGACTTTGAGTGGTTATACCAGGATGATGCCTGCAGCTGTTTTTGTTTCAGCCGGCTTTAATGTCAAATCAATCCTAGTGGCTAATTAGCTGCAGGATTGCTTTTACAAGCATCGGGAGAAGATGCCCCCCTCCCCTGCTGCCTTCCACGGCTTTCTCAGGCAGTCCCGTGCCATTGGGGGAACCTGAGAATGCAGCCAGTGTTTCTGCCTCCGACCATAGAGCTGATTGGAGACGGAATAGTGCCAATTATCTCTATAGTCTAAAAAATCAGAAACTACGAGCATTTCATCACTTCAGTTTTGCAGGATATAAACAGTGCCATTTGTAAATTGGGAAAGCAGCTGATCACACCGATCTTGGTGAGATTAGATAATGTAAGGGCAGATTAGATATCTAGAGTCTGATAGACCCAGATTTCTCAAAAAAGAATATTTGACAATGGCCATTGAAGTTACATAATACATAGTTAGTCTAGCTGAAAAAAGACAAAAGTCCATCCAGTTCAACCATAACAAAGATAGTTATAATCCTATACCCACAGTTGATCTAGAGGAAGGCAAAAAAAAACCCAGCAAAGCATGATCCAATTTGCTCCTGCTGGGAAAAAAATCCTTCCTGATCCCCTGAGAGGCAATCAGATATTCCCTGGATCAACTTTACCTATAAATGTTAGTATCCAGTTATATTCTGTGTATCTAAGAAAGAATCCAGGACTTTTTTGAAGCAATCCACTGAGCTGGCCAAAACCAACTCTTGAGGGAGTCTATTCCACATTTTCACAGCTCTCACTGTGAAGAAACCTTTCTGTGTTTGAAGATTGAATTTCTTTTCCTCCAGACGTAAAGAGTGCCCCCTTGTCCTCTGTGTTGACCTCAGGGTGAATAGCTCTACACCAAGTTCACTATATGAACCACTGATGTATTTATACATGTTGATCATATCCCCCCTTAATCTCCTCTTCTCAAGAGAGAATAAATTCAGTTCCTCTAATCTTTCCTCATAGCTGAGCTCCTCTATGCCTCTTATCAGTTTGGATGCCCTTCTCTGTACTTTCTCCATTTCCCCAATGTTCGTTTTGTGAATTGGTGCCCAAAACTGAAATGCATATTCCAGATGAGGTCTTACTAATGATTTGTACCGGGGTAATATGATATCTCTCTCTCTGGAGTCTATACCTATTTTCATACAAGAGAGGATTTTGCTTGCTTAAGAAACCGCAGCTTGGCATTGCATGCCATTATTAAGCTTGTGATCTACCAGAACTTCCAGATCCTTCTCCACCATTGATTCCCCCAGTACTCCCCCTACTATGTATGATGGATGTATATTCTTAGCCCCAAAGTGCATAACCTTACATTTATCAACATTAAACCTCATTTGCCACATAGTTGCCCAATTAAACAGTGTACTGAGGTTGGCTTGTAAGTTGGAGACATCCTGTAAGGACATTATTCCACTGCACAGCTTGGTGTCATCTGCAAAGCCTGAAATGGGATTTTTAATCCTAGACCCTATATTGCTTATAAATATATTAAAAAGTAAGAGTCCCAACACTGAACCTTGGGGTACACCACTGTTGACCCCAGACCATTCATAGTACGAATCATTAACCAATACTCACTGCATACGATCTTTTAGCCAGTTTTCTATGCATTTACATACGGATATTTCCAAGTCTGTAGACATTACCTTACACAGTAGCCGTTTGTCGGGAACTGTGTCAAACACTTTTGCAAAATCCAAGTATACCACGTCCACCGCCACCCCTCTGTCCAAGGTTTTGCTCACCTCCTCATAAAAAGAAATCAGATTTGTTTGACAACTTCTGTCTTTCATGAATCCATGCTGTCTGTTGCTTAACCACCTCCCGCCTGCCATATAGTAATATGACAGGCGCAAGGTGGTTCTCTCTTGACGTCCTCCCATTCTCACTGCGCATGCGCGGCTCAGGGAGCGCGCAGCGCGGCAATCGACGGTGTGCTGTGTCCCTCGGACACAGCGGATCACCGATCGCGGAAAGAGCCGAAGATGTCGGCTTGGTCATGTGGTCATGTGATCAGCTGTGTCTAATCTCAGCTGATCACATGTAAACAGGGAAATTATCGGCATTTCAATCCTCTCGAGCTGTCACGCTGACAGCTCGAGAGGAGAGCTGGTAACACTGTTCAACAAATTTTTATTTTTTGCCAGTTTTGGAAACAGAAGGATCCATTTCTTAATGAATTTCACATTCTGAGTTCAAATATAACAATGAAATTTGTCAATTGGCTCTAGTTTTTCTGTAAACGGAATGTTTTCTATTATAGGCGTAATGACTACATAATGCACAATAATTATATAGATAGATGTCTTTCCACAAATATAAAGCAAGTGATATTGACTACATAACAAAGCCTAAATGGCATAATATATTGCATAGTATTACCAAGAAAAATTATAGCCATAAGCTAAGTTGAATCATTTTAATACTTAGGATTCTCACTAGTTTTGTCTTCAGTTTGTGTCGGTTTTGCTTCTCTTGGCTTTTCTCTTGTATTCGAGGAAAGGGCTATCTCTTAGAACTGTCCAGCAATAGTCAGCAAGCATTGATGGGCTCCATTTACCTTGATATCTTCTTTCCATAGCTGCAATGTCTTGATGGAAGCGCTCTCCGTGTTCATCACTCACTGCTCCACAGTTTGGTGGGAAAAAATCCAGATGCGAATGTAGAAAATGAATTTTTAGAGACATGTTGCAACCCAGATTTCTGTAAGTCTGGATGAGTTTTTCTACCACTTTCTTGTAGTCTGGTATTTTATTGTTTCCAAGAAAATTTGATGTCACTGATACAAATGCTGTCCAGGCAGCCTTTTCCTTTCCACGCAACAGAGAAAGAAACTCATCATCATGAATAAGTTTACGAATCTGTGGCCCAACAAAGACTCCTTCATTTATTTTTGCAGCACTAAGTGCTGGAAATTTGCTAATCAGGTACTTGAAACCTGCTTTATTCTTGTCCATTGCCTTAACAAAGTTTTTCATTAATCCCAACTTGATGTGTAATGGAGGTAATAAGATCTTATTGCTGTCTACAAGTGCTGGATAGTTAACATTTTTTTCTCCAGGCTGCAATGACTGGCGTAATGGCCAGTCTCTTTTGGCATAGTGCATTTCTCTCGCACGACTGTCCCACTCACAGAGGAAGCAGCAGTACTTAGTATATCCACCTTGAAGTCCAAGTAGGATAGCAATCACCTTCAGGTCACCACAAATTGACCATTGATGTTCATCATAGTTGATGCACCTTAAAAGCTCTTTCAAGTTTTCATACGTTTCTTTCATTGAAACTGCGTAAGCAACTGGAACTGACGGCAGCTGATTGCCATTATGGAGCAAAACAGCTTTAAGACTCGCCTTTGAAGCATCAATGAACAGCCTCCACTCATCGGGATCATAGCATACGCCGATGGCTGAGATTAAACCATGAACATTGTTACATACAGCAATATCACCTTCCTGGACGAAGAATGGGATCAGATCTTTCTGACGATGACGGTAGAAAGACGTACGAACATCACTTGCTAGGAGATTCCACTGTTGTAGTCTTGACCCCAAAAGCTCTGCCTTGTTCTTTGGAAGATCCAGGTCTCTGATAAGATCGCTCAATTCCACTTGTGTAATGAGGTGTGGTTCAGTGGGTGTGGATGGAAGAAAGTCTGGGTCATGTGAGGTTGACGGTTGATGACTACACGCTTCAGGTTCTTCCTCACTTGACTCAACCACGAAGGATTCTGGTGCTTTAGGAATTGGTAGCCCCTCTCCATGAGGAACTGGACGTATTGCCAATGGAATATTTGGATAGTGCACAGATAACTTTTTCTTCTTATTTAGCCCTTTTGTTGGAGGCACCATACAAAAGTAACAATTACTAACATGATCTGTTGGCTCTCTCCAAATCATTGGCACAGCGAAAGGCATAGATGCCTTTTTTTCCATTCAACCATTGCTCCAGTGCCGTCCCACAAGAATTGCAGCATATATGTGGTGCCCAGCTCTTGTCCTGGTCTCCTATCTTGCAGCCAAAATACAAGTTGTAGGCTTTCTTAATCATTCCTGTTATCCTCCTTTTTTGTGAGATAAAAGTTATTTTACCGCAGATATAGCAGAAATTATCTCTTTATTCACACAAGTTCGAGGCATTACTGAGTAGCCTATATAAGCATAAAACGAAATGTAAAGACGCTGTCGAACTACAATCAGCTACAGATACTGCAGCTTTTTATGCAGTGAAGTGATGCAATTAAAGGCTAATATTGCATCATCTCAGTATACATGCAATTTTCTATTGGTCACCAGTATCAATTGCGCAATATGCAGCTGAAGTTGCATCATAATTTTGAATGGCTTACGTCATTAGATGGGTGAATATATCATGGAAACTAGAGCCAATCAACATTTTTTAGGGTCATTTTCGTTTTCAGCACCCCAAAATTATGTAAGATTAGCTAATTTTATGCCCAAAACTTTTTACCTGTTGAACAGTGTAATCGGCTTTCCGCGGAGGGGACATGTACACTGATGATCAGGGCACTGATGATCAGTGTGCCCTGATGATCAGTGTAGCCCCAGCAGTGCAACATGTCAGTGTCCATCAGTGCCTTATGTCAGTGCCTCGTGCCAGTGCCCATCAGTGCCATATCAGTGCCACATATCAGTGCACACCAGTGCACATCAATGCCACATATTAGTGCCCATGCCTTTCAATGTCACCCATCAGTGCCAGTCTGTGCCACCTATCAATGCCAATCAGAGCCACCTACCAGTGCTGCCAATCAGTGCCACCTATCAGTGCCAGTCAGTGCTGCCTATCAGTGCACATCATTGCCGCCTATCAGTGCCTGTCAGTGCCGCCTAACAGTGCCAGTCAGTGCCGCCTAACAGTGCCAGTCAGTGCCGCCTATCAGTGCCAGTCAGTGCTGCCTATTAGTGCCAGTCAGTGCTGCCTATCAGTGCCATATATTAGTGCTGCCTTTCAGTGCCCATCAGTGATGCCTGTCAATGCCCATCAGTGCCACCTACCAGTGCCTCCTCATCAGTGCCCATCAGTGCCACCTATCAGTGTCAATCAGTGCAGCCTATCAGTGCCCATCAGTGCAGCCTCATTAGCACACATCAGTGAAGGAGAAAAATCCCTTATTTACAAAATTTTATAAGAAAAACTAAGAAAAAAACATTTTTTCAAAATTTTCAGTGGTTTTTGGTTTGTTTAAGAAAAAATAAAAATCCCAGAGGTGATTAAATACCACCAAAATAAAGCTCTATCTGTCATAAAAAAAAATGATAAAAATTTCATATGGGTACAGTTATGCATGACCGCACAAATTGTCATTTAAAGTGTGACAGCGCTGAAAGCTGGAAATTGGCCTGGGCAGGAAGGGGGTATAAGTGCCCTGTAGGCTAGTGGTTAAAATATTTTTTTCCAGCAAGAACTCATCTATGTGGTCTTTTATTAAACTTTCCAGTATCTTCCCAACTATATAAGTTAAACTAATAGGTCTACAGTATAATTACTTGGTAAAGATTTTGACAAGTTATAGGGGATATTTGCATTCCCTGTGATAGCATTAAAAGTGATTGAAAAAAAATAAGAAGATAGTGTAAAAATAATTTAAAAAATCAAAATAAAAAAGCACCTTCGCTCCCCCCCCCCCTCCCGCGCGCATGCACTGTGTGACCCAAGCGTTGACCATGTGCCAGTTTGTAAACAGAGGTAGCACTATGCATGTGAGGTATCGCCGCAAACGTCAGATCAAGAGCAGTAAGTCTAGCACTGAACCTCCTCTGTAAATCTAAAATGGAAGCTTGTAAAGGCTTGTAAATCGTTGCCTATGGAAATTAAAAATGTATGCAGTTTGTCGTCATTGCACGGGGCATGTGCAGTTTTAAAGCATGTCATGTTTAGTATCTATTTATTCGCCATACTATCATCTTTTATATTGTACCAAATAATTGGCTAATATATTGTGTTTTTGTGCAGTAAAAAAGTGTATTTTAAAAAAAATTTGCATTTGAAAAATCGCTGTGCGAGTACTATGTGACATAAAAAATTGCAGCACCCACCATTTTATTCACTAGGGTGTCTGCTTTAAATAAATATATAATGCTTGGGGGTTCAAAGTAATTTCCTAGCAAAAAATACAGATTTTTTTTTAATGAGAACAAAAAGTGTCAGAAAAGGCTTGGTCTTCAGGTGGTTAAAAGAGTGAGTGTTGAGTGGCATAAACTTCTAATGCTGGGCATAAAATGCCCCCACCCTCCAAAATGGCCCCTTTTTTGAAAGTAGACACCCCACACTATTTGCTGAGAGGCATGTTGAGTCAATAGAAAAATGTATTTTTTACCACAAGTTTTTGGAGAATAGGTATTGTGGAATTACTCCCCAAAATACTTTTTTCTACTTCTCCCGAGTATGGGAATACCACACGTGAAAGACATTTTGGCAGTCTAGCCAAGTACAGGACCCCAAAATCCAGTAAGCACCTTCAGGCTTTTAAAGGGATTTACTTCCTCATTACACTATCTGCAAAATACTCATCATGCCTCTTTTTAAATTCCTTAGGGTGTCCACTTTCTAAAAAGGGGTCATGGGGGGGGTGCTATCCTGGCATTTCAGGGCCCCCGAAACTGTGATACATAGTGAGGAAGTGAAATGAGGAAGTTACGCACTTTCAGGCTTTCAAAGTGGTCATTGGATTTCAGGCTCCTGTAAGTGGCTAGGCTCCCAAAAAGTCTCACACCTGTGGTATCCCCATATTTGTAGAAGTGGCAAAATGTATTTTGGGGTGTAATTCTACATCTACCCATGATTTGTGTGAGCAATATATCATTTAAGTGACAACTTTGTGTAAAGAAAAAAATTGTTTTTGTCATTTTCCAAAAACTTGTGGAAAGAAAAAAATATCCAACGGACTCAATATGCCTCTGAACAGATAACTTAGGGTGTCTACTTTCCGAAAAGGGGTCTTTGTACTGTCCTGGTATTTTAGTACCTGAAGAAATGTGATGGGCAGTCAGAAAGTAAAAGCTGTGTAAATTCCATTATCTATACCATAGTTTGTAGACGCTATAACTTTCACACAAAGCAATCAATATACACTTCTTGGGATTTTTTTTAACCAAGAACATGTAGTAGAATACATTTTGGCTTAAATTTATGACGAAATTTGAGTTTTTGGGGTATTTTTATGACAGAAATTAGAAAATATAGTTTTTTTTTTCAAATTGTGCAATTATCAGTTAAACTAGCACAGCGCTGTATAGCACAAAATTGCGTAAATTGCAGTATCTATACCATAATTTGTAGACACACACAGCAATCAATATATACTTATTGGGATTTTTTTTACCAAAGACATGTAGCAGAATACATTTTGGCCTAAATGTATTGAGTTTACTATATATTTTTTTATAGACAAAAGTAAAAAATATTGTTTTCTTCAAAATGTTCGCTATTTTTTTGTTTATAGTGCTAAAAATATAAAGTGCACAGGTGATCAAATACCACCAAAAGAAAGCTCTATTTGTGTGAAAAAAGGACACAAATTTCATTTATGTACAGCATTGCATGATCGCTCAATTGTCAGTTAAACTAGCGCAGCGCTGTATAGCAAAAAATGGCGTAAATTGCAGTATCTATACCATAGTTTATAGACGCTATAACTTTCACACAAAGCAATCAATATACACTTGTTGGGATTTTTTTACCAAAGACATGTAGCAGAATAGATTTTGGCCTAAATGTATTACTAACTTTGAGTTTACTACATATTTTGTATAGCGGAAAGCTCTATTTGTGTGAAAAAAAGGACGAAATTTTGTTTGGGTACAGCATTGCATGCTTCAGGGGTGAAAGTGCGACTTTTTTGGACTATTGTGGAACTTGTACAGTTTATTATAATTAAGTTTATTATATTTATATATTTTTTTCTATATTTATTTGTGGATACCGAATGTATTTATTTATTTACAGCATTGCATGACCGCGCAATTACCTGTTGAAATAGTGCAGCGCCGCATTGAAAAAAAGGCCTGGTCAGGAAAAGGGGTAAATCCTCAGGAGGGCAAGTGGATAACACAGTTGCGAGGGTTCTGTTTACAAGTCAGGAGCAGTGTTGCCAACCTACCAAATTGAAATTCACTGACACAGCATCAAAAATTTACTGGCACAGCCAAACTTTTACTGGCATTTCCAAAAGTTACAAAGTTACAGTTTTAAGTGCAAAGTTCAATATTTAAGGTACAGACAAGTACAACACATTCATCAATGTCATTTAAGGTAGATATTAAGGTAAAAAAACCCAAACCGTATTTCCTATTTTATTTTCGATATAGTAAGAGCGGGTTATTATAATCCATCAGTTTTTGTCACCTATGTCCACTGACACCGACAGACATGTGCAGCTGCAGCAGCACAAATGAGAAACCATCCTGATCTCACCAACAGACACACATCTCCTTCGGGCTCTGGTTCCTCCAGTGACAGTTTCTCTCTCCTCCCCATACGTCCCACACATGACACACTGCTCAGCTTCAGGGTTTTTATAGCAGATGGCGGTGGTCTGAGGAAAATGTGCCACAACGTCGCCACGGATCATGTTCGCTTGCTCAAACACTGCCATGAATGCCCGCCTGAACACAAAGTAGAAGTACATTGGAAGGTCTAGGCTGGCTCAGGAACTGCGCATGCACAGTTCTGAGCTGAGTGTCACAGCATATTTTTAACTGCCACACTTTTCCCATCACAGGCATTATCCAGGAAAAAAGTGCCTGTTTTTACTGACTGTTTGTAAAAACACAGACATTTGGCAACACTGGTCAGAGGACGACTGGACCATGCCCTTTACTCCTTCACTTTTAGAATTTTTACACAGCATGATCAACACTAACATTTTCGGTTAGTTAAAAGTTGCACAAGTCAGGTCTGTTCTTCTTGAGATAATGACAGGGGTTGTTGGTGCACTAGACAGGCCCCCCAGATACTTGGAGTTTGATTTGTTGATGTAAAATTGTATAATTGTCAAGAATTGTCGAGTTATAATGACTACTGTATGCAGAATTCTATACATATAAGAGATATGTTTTTGAAACATTCTATTATTATTATACAGGATTTATTTAGAGCCAACAGTTTGCGCAGCTCTGTACAATATATAGGGGGCAGTACAATTACAATACATTTCAGTACAGAAGGAATAGGAGGGCCCTGCTCATGGAGCTTACAATCTAAAGGAAGGGGGAGGTGGTACGTTCTAGAGATCAGACTCTAAAATGGCTGATACACACAATGATGGATAGCTAGGTGGTTCATCGATGATCAATAAGCCACCTAATACAGATTATATGCCCATTTAATGTAGTGCATGCTATTTACTTGCCTCCCTTGCAGAGACATCTAAAAGCCCTGAAACTGCTGCTGGGTGCCACTATCTTATTGTGATGTGATGACAGCAGCCCCAACAGACTCAGAGCAGTCACTCAAGTGACACTATAGTATTTCTTTTTCTGGCTACATAAAAGGTTTTATACAGAGGTGGAGGGAGGGGTGGAGGAGCTGGGCCAGCACATACAGTTAGGGCTTGTTCACAATCATTTCAGTGCTGTGGATTGTGTATCACCACAATGTGCTGAAGAAATATTTCTCTCTAGATTTTTTTTTCAGCACGCACCAACACATCACGGTGGTGTGAACTGAGACTATTTTTAAAAATTGTGTTGTCTTGCTTTAAGACTGTTCTGGGCAAGGCTTCCCAGTGCAGTTCCAATACACCTGTTGTGAATGGTCCCTAACTAGGTACTCCCAAAAGACGTTAGGGCCATAAAGTGCAAGAAAGGAGGGGATGCGCTAGGGAATTGACTCTACTGGAGTGGAGTCAAATTTTACAGGAAGTTCGAAAGGCACATTGCAAGTGAATGAAAA